GCAAGCTACATTGTAGCCACAGCCACCCTGGGGCGCACTCTCAGAGGCAAGGCTGCCAGACACTGGCGCCACCGGGCCCTCTGAGGACTATGCTTAAAATCTGGGTCCATGCCAGGAAAGCAGAGAGTTTCAAAAGACTACCACCTAAATCTTAAAAAAAAAAAATCAAATTTCTGCACACAATTTTTGCTTTTGAAAGTCATTAAAAATCCATGCTGCACAATCATGTCACCCTGGAAAAAGAACAATTCAAAGAAATAATTAAAGCCAGCACTGCTGGCTAAAAAAATTCTTACATTTTTCAAAATCTGTTGAAAAATGTTGGAATATATTGTTAAAGAAAAGCATAACATCACAACTTTGCACTAGTTTCACTTTACCTGATGTTAATAACATAAATTCAAACATATCACCTTTTCCAGTCACTTTTTATTTTTAACAGAATGTGAAGACAGCATGTGGTCCATGTGGTATGCACTTTAACTACTTTGACTTTTCAGTCATGGTGTAATCAGCTTCAGTAATGTCTGTTTTGCACTGATTTCTTAAGTACTGGTTTCAATATAGACTTAAATGAAATGAGAAAAAAGAAATAAAAACTCATCATAAGACGGCACTAGAAATGTTGCAGTATGAATGTGGTTACATTTTTACAGATAGAGGTATAGAACAACAACACATTATAGCTCATTCGCTTTAAGCAAATATCCACAATGTTATATGACATAAAGGGATGATGGGGTGGTAAACAGATCTAATCCAGTCCAAAAGCCTTGACAACCATGTAGATCTGCTGCCGCTTCACTGCATCCTGTCTTTTATATTTGTCAGCCTTCATCATCGTAAACACAACTGCAGAAAACATCAATGTGTCCTTTTTCTGGAAAAATACAATACAAAAATATTATAAACATTAAAACTTGAAAATCTAACACACTCTACCATTAAGTACTTTACCTGTTGGCTTTTCAAATCACCAACGTTTTTCTCCAGGACAGCAGCTTGAATATAGGACATATAAGTAATTAATGCAAATGTAAGATTCATAACATCTAGAACTCTGAATAACTGCAATTACCTTTGCAATAATCACTGTTGGTTTTCTTGATTGTGTAAGCGAGGACAGCAATAACAATCAGAACCAGTACAGGACACAGCAGAAAAATAACTGTAGTGGCCGTCTGTGACCACACGCTGCATTCTGGAACTAAATTAAAGGGAAAAAAACATCAAAAAAAACAAATTTAAGGACAATATAAATTACAAAATTACCTTTTTTAAATTTTACCTTCTATGAAATCACTATGAACGTGAAACAAAAGGCACTGATTTTTCTGATATTCTAAGAAACAGATAAATGAAACCAGTACCTTGAAGTTTAGTTCCTTTTCCAAACAATATCTTCCCACATGTGGCCACAGCACAATAGTAAGTCCCTTCGTCTGAGGAGCTAATACTTTTATTGAACTGATAAACACAACTCTGCTGAGTCGCAGAGCTATTCCCACATTTATGATGTCTGTTTCCATCAGTGTAGATGATGCTAGGATGAGATGGATTTGATCCTTCTCTAAACCAGAACATACTGAGACCTCCAGAACACGTCTTGTTATCAAAATTAGAGAGGAGTGAACAATGAAGAGTGACTGAGCCTCCTGGAGTTGCTATCTTCTCTTGAACAACAGAATAGTTCGATGTTCTCTGGGTGTTTCCTGTGTAATATAAATATATTAACAAATGTGATTATAAAGAACACTGAAAGAAAAATAGAACAATAGTTTTAACATATGTTAGTTAAAAGGTATGTTTCACTTAAGGATCACTGGAAACATTAAAAAAATAGACCAAATGTATCTTAAACGTAAATTTAATAAGATTTGAAAATATTTAAATTAAAAGTTTAGTGATTTTTTTCTAAACATGCTCATTGATAAATTATTATCTTTAGTATTTATGTGATAAAGTTTTAGTTGCTGAAGCAAACTTTTATAGCAGAATCACATTATTACCTTTTACTAACAAATATGTCGCAGTCCATTTGGTATCTTGGAGCCACGCTGTGAATCCACAGTGATACATTCCCTCGTCCTCTTGTCTTGTCCTCAAAATGGTCAGTTTGCTCAGATTCTTGTCATACTTAACATCCCATTTTGAGTTTTCAAACTCAGGTGCAAAGACAGCTGCTGCAGAGTCCTTCACTGTCCAAATCCTTTGCAGAGAGTCTCCAGGACTCTGCTTGTACCAGTCGACTCTACGGCGGTACACGGTCTTAGGCAGGTCACATAGTAAAGTTGCAGGTTCACCGAGTTGAACTGTAGTTACTGGAGTAAGTGTGTCTAATTTGAAAGAAAACATACAAAATCTAAAACATTAAGTCACAATGATGCAGGAAAGCACCAGGTAAAAGTGAACGATAAGACCAACGTACTTATATGTTGAAAATAATGTGAATAAAATAATAAAGCACTTACATCCTCGATGAAGAAGAAGCAGTATGACCCACAACACATTCATGTTGGTATTCTCTCTTTTTAGTGACCTTGTAGAAATTTCAGTCAGTGTAGGGGTAACATGGGCCTTTCACACCTCACTGTCAAATGCATCTGATTGGTTATCACAGAATAAATATTCAAGTGCAGTTCCTGTCACATGGGTCTCATCCAGGTCTTTGATGAGCAAATCGCCTTTTTCTTTATCCAGCTTCTCACTTGTTTTAAATATAACATAAGCCTTTTGTAGTTTTTGTTAGAGACAAAAGTTTACTTCAACTTTCCCTGCAGTGTCTTAAAAGTTTACAATAGGATGTAGAGGAGCAGTTGTATGAACACACCTGACTTTCACTCCGAAGACTGAAGTTTGAGTCTTATATTTTTGTATTTACTCACTGAGTACTGTTAAGTTTAGACAATAGCTACTTGTTGTTTTTAGAAACCAAAACTACTTATTTGGGAAATGACTTGGGTTCCCATAGTGTCACTTTACTGGGTCTCCAGTTTTCTTATTTTGTCATTTTACTATTGTTTAGTTTCCTCGTTCTTCCTGCTTTAATCATTTGTATTTCTGGTTATTCTTGTTCATTTAATCTGTTCTCATTTGTGCCTCTCTGTGTAGTCTATCGTGTATGTTTAGTTCTGTGTCATTTTTCTGTGTTCCATGTTTCTCAGTTTGTTACTTTTGTCTCTGTGCTCCAGGTTCATGCATCCCCTGTGTTCCCCAGTTAGTCATATCCCCGTGTCTCAGCTGCGACCCATTGTCAGACCACATCTGGATCCCCTTCAATTTGCTTAT